TGAATGCCCCTCGTTTTCACCTGGAATAATAGATCCTGGCACTGCCCAGAAGTATAGATTTTTCCTGTGAAGTCATTGCATTTTTCAAGTTTTTATTACTATTCTGTTCTACAGTCTTCCTTTCCAGAGAACCATAAGCTCATCATTTCATAGAATCATACGAAAAATTAGATTGAAAAGGACCTTTTGAGTTGTTCAATGCTTCTTCCATTTTCAAAGCAAAGCTGACTTCAAAGTTAGACCAGACTGCTCGGGGCTTTGCCCTGTCAAGTTCTGAAACTCTCCAAGGAGGAGGCTTCCACAGCCTCCCTGGATGACCTGTTCCAGTGCTTAACCATGCTTGTGGCGAGGAACATTTTTCCTTAAGTAAAAAAAAAAAAAAATTACCTTATTGCAACTTGTGATTATTGCTGCTTGTCCTTTCATTGTGCACCTCTCAGAAAAGCCTGGCTCCGCCTTCCCCTTTAGCTGTTGCAAGACTGCTGTTAGATTTCCACCTAGCTTGCTTTCTTGTCTCCATTTTAACTACCCCTCTTCCCGTAGCCTGTCCTATGTGTCCTGTGTCCCAGCCCTCTTACTATCCCGGTGGCTCTCTGCAGTGATTATTGCTGCTGAAGTCACCTCTTACCTTTGATTCTAATCTAAAGGATTAATTTTATTGAGAATATAAAGTGAAATGATCCTCCCACCCCTTATTTTTTACTGTTTGGTAAAGATGTTATCCTCCTCTCATCCTGCATTTTTTCTCCTGATATAGGGTTGGTATTTTAGATAAAAATGAGCTCTGAGAGTTTCTGTTTTCTCTACTTATTTGTCTGGAGACTTCATTACATTTTGCAGCTTTTCATACCAAAGATGTTATTTCCCTAGGAAAACTTAGCTTCACGACACCCTTTCAGGATAGAGCACAGCTGTCTGATCTTATCTGGGCCTGACAGATGCCTACCCTTTCTGCCAAGCACAATTCTCTTCTTTGAAAGAATTACCTTTTTCTGTAAACTTTGCATTTAAAGATGATCTGCATACATATGCTTGGAAAGTGGGGTCTATTTTAATGATGTGAAGGAAAGACAATTGGATGTTAGAGAGAGATGCCGTAACAAGTAGAATTACTTTTATCGCTTACTTATTTCATCACCCATTTCCGTGTAATTGTCTCATTTATATTGGCTTCTCCTTTGGAAGAACCCATAGCAATTTCCAAATGTTTAATTAAACCCTCATGACATTACTTTGATGTGAACGTAGTAAATGAATGAGAGAAGATAAGGCCTTTCTAAAGCAACTGGTATCTTAAGTGTTTTGTTACACAACATTTTATCTAGCACCAAAACAGGGGACGCTTTCTTTGGCGAATCATAGTTCACCTGTATCAGGATGTCAAATACTTGCAAGAGCTAGACTTCTTTTGGGTTTTTGGGATTTTTTGTGTGTGTTTGTGGTTTTTTGTTGTTGTTGTTGTTGTTGTTTTTAACATAAATGATTTATCTCATCTGGCTTCAGAGAGGGTCCACAAAAAGTTCCAGTGACCCAGTGACACAACTGAGGGGTGAGGAAAGAGAAGCTGGAGGAAGGACTGCCTTAAATTGGCCTTCTGCTGGGGAAAATGCATGCATACATACATCCTGATTTTCAATTAGGCATAATTTATGTACCTAATTGTAGCGCAGCAATTCATGAGGACCTTTCCTACTTGCCTAAATTATGATAAATATCTAAATATTCATTAAAACAACAACAAAACCCCCTTTGGTTGCCCAGCTCATGCCCAGTTGTGCCATAGTTCTTGCAGATCTGAGATACCTGCCTCTCGCCAGAGGCTGCTTGGGAGTCTCAAAATAGACACCAAATACGCCTCGTATGCACTCCTGGCAGGAGAATGAGGGAGGGTTACAATGATTAGAGCATTTGTAAGGGTAAATGTTGACCTGGACTTGAACCGGGGTTTCTCTTGGCATCACAGAGAATATCCTCCTCGGTGGGCTACCGGTTACTCTTCTTTATCAATGCCCTCTCTTTCCTCTTCCTCTCCTGAGAAAGCCTGTATTCATTACTGTGCGACTTCAAAAGTGGTATGAATCTTCAAGGTTTCTGAAACTCTGTATTATGTTGTAATAGCTAAAGGATTTCATTTGAAATAAGACACTGGGCTGCCTGGCTATATAAGTATATCCAAATTTTGAAAAAGTTTTTGAAGAAGTATGTTCAGAGCAGCCAGTTCAGTTCTTCTCACTATTAAGTAGTGTTTTTTTTTCTTTAGCTTTCACAAAACTCTACGGTATTTTTTATCCCAGTAATAATTTTCTCTTCCTCCCCCACAATCCCCATGTTGATTCTTTAGAAACCCTTTTCTTCAACCTTCAAAGGATTCCTGGTATAATATATCCCCCAGATCTTTTGCCTTGGCAGTATGCTGTCTGTTTTAGCTAATTTTTTATAAACGCTCTTAGCCTTGTATTATCCACTAGCTCTTACTATCAATCAAAACGTTACTACTCTCTTTTGAAAAGTGGTATTTAGATAGCCATTTTCGGTTTTACATTTTTTTGCGAGATTCTCTCAACATAGTGTCTAGTGTCTCACAGCGCAACAGGCCAAAACACAGAAAACAGCTTTTTTTTTTGTGGAAGGAAGTTGAAGGTCTATTTTGAAAGAATCTAGTAACCAATGGCATCAAAGATTTTTGTGTCTCAAATTTTCAGCGGACTCTAATTTATGCTTAACTTTTTCTGGCTTCTGTGAAATGGCTCATACAGTCTCACATGGAGTATGTATAAAGGGGGAGTATGTGACGATGTAAGATTAAGTACGATAATTAAAGATTTGTTGTTTACTATTTGCCTTTCAGAAGTGGCCACAGAGAATCATTTTGATGACTAGAAGTTTTTTTCAAAGGGTAAATTTGGCAGAGTTTTAATGTAGTCACTTGACTGAGCAGCTTTTCCTCTTGCAGCGATATCCCATTTGCTGCCTTAGGAACCATGAATCCTTCTGGTCATAAACACACAACATCCAAAGAAAATTGCTTATGGGGAAACATGGCACTGACTGCTCATGCTATGGGCTCTTTAGCTTATGTACTGGCTTGTTTAGCCTGATGCTGGAAACTGCTGAACTTCCATTGGCAAATCAACCTCTTCCCTTCTTCTCCCGCTATCCTTCCTCCATCCTTTCCCTCCCTCCAACTCCCCCTGTATTTGGCACTTACGATGTCGTGCAGGCCCTGAGCAGAGGAACCCCCTTGTTCATTTTTCCAAGCTTTTTACCCACTTTCCTTCTCTACTGCCAGTGCACACCAAGGAGAGATGCGTAGCTTGCAGATCAAGCCCTAAAATTTCATGAAAGCACCTAGGACGCATCTTTCATGCTGTATTAGAAATCTGAAGCTCAAAGCCTTGAGCTTTGGTAGTGGGAGTAGATACAGGGGGGAAAAGCAGCTTGTGTGTTGGCTGGGTAGCTCAACTGTAAGTATTAGTGCAGACACTTAGTATGACTTTCTCAGTGCTAAAGAGAGGGAGACCTTACAGGATCAGAATGCTGCCTCCAAAACATAACTGGTCCATGGTTAAGGGTTTAAAAGCTACTGGTCTTATGCAACCATTCTGGCAGCCCTGTAGTATGTACGTACATACATATATATAGTATGCACCTACATACATAGAATCATAGAATCATAGAATAGTTTGGGTTGGAAGAGAACTTTAAAGGTCACCTAGTCCAACCTCCCTGCCGTGGGCAGGGACATCTTCAACTACATCAGGTTGCTCACAGCCCCCTCCAACCTGACCTGGAACGTTTCCAGGGATGGGGCATCCACCACCTCTCGGGGCAACCTGGGCCAGTGTTTTACCACCCTCAGTGTAAAAAATTTCTTCCTTACATCTACTCTGAATTTACCCTCTTTTAGTTTAAAATCATTCCCCCTTGTCCTGTCGCAACAGGCCCTGCTAAAAAGTTTGTCCCCATCTTTCTTATAGGCCCCCTTGAAGTACTGATAGGCTGCAAGAAGGTCTCCCCAAAGCCTTCTCTTCTCCAGGCTGAACAACCCCAACTCTCTCAGCCTTTCTTCATAGCAGAGGTGTTCCATCCCCCTGATCATTTTTGTGACCCTCTTCTGGACC